ACCACGGTCGTGTAAGGACGAATGTCGAGGGAGACACCAGAAATCAGGAACATGTGAGGAGTCTAGGAGAAAAACAAGAGTAGACAAGTGGAATGGAAAGTATAAATTCCAAAAGGACCATCCAACAATTTTCGTTTCTTCAGCTCTCCACTTAAGAATTCAACGATTAATTGCAGCGGCGGTTGCGGAGTCAGTTGGCGCGCAATAGTGCTTGTTTAGCGGAGAAAGGAGCAACGGGTCGCAACAGCGTCACACCGTCACAAGAGCCTCCCGTTTCGAAGGGAGACGAAGATTATGGCAGACATCCAGGTATTACACTGTCCTCTGTCCCACGGCCAGTAACCTCTTTGTTACCACCTCGAGAAGTACTTTACGACCCAGGGGAGCTCTGCATTATCGGACGCCGACTAGGGATGTAGCCGTCCAGTACACTCTTATCCGTGACCGCGACTTCGTTGCCAGTGACTGGAGATCGAGATAACGAAAGTGCGAGTAGTGAACGACGACAAAACAGTAGCGGAAAGATCAAGACGATATGCATCGTGGATCGACATTAATGGCCGCAACGATGACGGCGACAGCGATAATAATACAAAGTGAAATGAGAAACTTGGTTGTAAACAGTGGGTACAAGGGGCATTTTGAAAAGAAACAGTGGGTACAAGGGGCATTTTGAAAAGAAACAGTGGGTACAAGGGACATTTTGAAAAGAAACAGTGGGTACAAGGGGCATTTTGAAAAGAAACAGTGGGTACAAGGGGCATTTTGAAAAGAAACAGTGGGAACAAGGGGCATTTTGAAAAGAAACAGTGGGTACAAGGGACATTTTGAAAAGAAACAGTGGGTACAAGGGACATTTTGAAAAGAAACAGAGGGTACAAGGGTCATTTTGAAAAGAAACAGTGGGTACAAGGGACATTTTGAAAAGAAACAGTGGGTACAAGGGACATTTTGAAAAGAAACAGTGGGTACAAGGGACATTTTGAAAAGAAACAGTGGGTACAAGGGACATTTTGAAAAGAAACAGTGGGTACAAGGGGCATTTTGAAAAGAAACAGTGGGTACAAGGGGCATTTTGAAAAGAAACAGTGGGTACAAGGGGCATTTTGAAAAGAAACAGTGGGTACAAGGGACATTTTGAAAAGAAACAGTGGGTACAACGGGCATTTTGAAAAGAAACAGTGGGTACAAGGGGCATTTTGAAAAGAAACAGTGGGTACAAGGGACATTTTGAAAAGAAACAGTGGGTATCAGGAACGTGTTGGATTTGTTATTGTAGGGACGACAACCTGAAAGGAGAGGACAATGTAGTCAATTTGTAATGTCTAATTACGATTTTTTATGAATATTGGGCTTACTATGGTGATATAATTTACCTACGATCCATTGATATAAAACGGAGAGTATTTGAATGATATTTGTTTAGGATTAAAATGAAAATATGCATGTGATACGATAACTATCCTGTAGTATAGAAGGTTCCCATGAGAAAAAAAAATATATATATATATATATATGACAGGACTCCTGCCTATTTTGTAATTTTTGTGTAGGCTGTGGTCATACCAGAAGTTTTTTTTAAAAAAAGTTATCTAAATTATATTTGGTGTCGACAACCATAAAATAACACAATGGTATTACATTTTATGAAGCATTAGTAATAAATTCACATTGCAATGATAATAAAACAGGGGAGTATTTGTATATAAATACATTATATTAGATACATTCTTGTTCTGTTTCATTTCACGTTTTGCCAAACCACACGATAACTGTATTGATAGTAGGTTTGGTAAAATATATTAATTTGAAAATAATCAAATACCTAGTCATCGGCGGAAAAGTATCAGTTTTGACGAAAACGGATAAAACAACATATGGAGTTTAACCTACATGTACGTTTATACTGTATTCAATATCAGGATTGTATTCAGTTTTGAAAGTATTGTTAAGGTTAATCCAAGCTACAGTTCAATATGGATACAGAGATAGAGGGTCAGGTTTCAACAAGACAATAGCTTCATCTAGTGATATCTAATGGACTTGCACGACTTTGATGATTTTGTGTTAGTGAAATCGGTACCAGGAAGGTTTGGAGGCATGAGACGATAGCCAATGATAGCCATACAGATAACATTATCGCTGACAAAAGGCCAGGATTCAGGTCAATTCTAAAGCTCTAGTGGACGTATATTTGTAAGGTCTTAGCTAGTGATAGTTTAAAGAATATGCCATAGTTAACAGTGGAGAATTTTGCTGAATAAGTACCCTTTTTACATTCTTTGGAAAGAAAAATGTTACCTTTGTCTATTTCAGGCAACGGAGGCAATTTACAGTTTATAACTGCACATTCGATTTTTGATGTAAGGAAAAAGTTTGTTTGAATAAACAATATGGAGAATCAGTTTGAATCAAAAGAGGAAATGTTTTCAGTTGAGGAGCTCTAGGGTAATCCTATCAAGAAAAGCATTTCCAGAAACAAAAAACTGGACTGAAGCCTCAGATGTATTTGTTCTACAGCTTCATGTGCTTCATGTATTCTCTATCTTACATAGTGTTCAATATGAACAGGATTTTTGTTTTGTAAAGTAAAAGTGAAGTAAACATAAAGTGAATTAAATGATTACATAGTGCTTGATGAAAATTATTGGTAAAAATTCACCTTGTACAAATTTTAACCATGACAACTGTACGTATGTATTATGTACATGTAGGTATATATATTATAACTGTGAATGCTGTCTTGCAGTGAAAACTTGGGAAAACGCAAAAATGCACCCCTCTCCCCTCCAAAAATTACTAAATCAATGAAAAATAAAAAAAATTCAATACAATCGTTACAATTCAAAATGGAGATGGATGAATCACATTGCTATTGTCATGAAGTGTGAATAGATTCGCGTCAACTGTTTCGCGAGATTTGGCTTTTCACGTGGACCATATGAACTGTTAGATATGTTTTGACTGTACATAAGCAATACCTAGACTATGTTTTTGTTTGTACTTTATGATCACGTGACATTGTACAGCATATATTTAGTATTGTCTATTGTTTGGAGACAATAGTATTGTTATAATAGCATTATCAGAGCACAGAAGTATACAAAGAGAGTCATTTCTAAACATTTCTAAAATGTTTCTAAACTCTGGATATCTTAACTTGTGTAGCTAATATTATGTTGTATTGTTAAACTGATTTTATTTTGTATTACATGTTATGTAACTATGTTGTTGACTTGCTAATAAAGTTGGAATAGTGTGGATTTTTCTCTTGTGCTATATTTCAATTTGCAGAAACTTTAAAGTTAAGTAGAAGCTTAGTTTAACCATTCTTTTGAACACGATATGAATGGAAAGCTGACTCACTGTAATTTTTTGCCGTAAAGGATCTATCGACTAGTTAAACGTATCCTAATTTAATAAGAACAAGGTATAAAACAACGGAACCAACAGGTAAACTAACAAGCATCAAACACATCCAGCTTCATATCACACAACGGAACCAACAAACAAACTAACATCAAACACATCCAGCTTCATATCACACAACGGAACCAACAGACAAACTAACGAGCATCAAATACATCCAGCTTCATATCTCACAACGGAACCAACAGGTAAGCAAACAAACATCAAACACATCCAGCTTCTTATCTCACAACGGAACCAACAGGTAAACTAACAAGCATCAAACACATCCAGTTTCATATCACACAACGGAACCAACAGACAAACTAACGAGCATCAAATACGTCCAGCTTCATATCTCACAACGGAACCAACAGGTAAACTAACAAACATCAAACACATCCAGTTTCATATCACACAACGGAACCAACAGACAAACTAACAAACATCAAACACATCCAGCTTCATATCACACAACGGAAACAACAAACAAACTAACAAACATCAAACACATCCAGCTTCATATCACACAACGGAACCAACAGGTAAACTAACGAGCATCAAACACATCCAGTTTCATATCACACAACGGAACCAACAGGTAAACTAACAAACATCAAACACATCCAGCTTCATATCTCACAACGGAACCAACAGGTAAACTAACAAGCATCAAACACATCCAGTTTCATATCACACAACGGAAACAACAAACAAACTAACAAACATCAAACACATCCAGCTTCATATCACACAACGGAACCAACAGGTAAACTAACAAACATCAAACACATCCAGCTTCATATCACACAACGGAAACAACAAACAAACTAACAAACATCAAACACATCCAGCTTCATATCACACAACGGAACCAACAGGTAAACTAACAAACATCAAACACATCCAGCTTCATATCACACAACGGAACCAACAGGTAAACTAACAAACATCAAACACATCCAGCTTCATATCACACAACGGAACCAACAGGTAAACTAACAAACATCAAACACATCCAGCTTCATATCTCACACAGAAATATACATTATTTATGGAAAAATCACAAAGACGACCTTAAAATTTCCTCATATTTTTCAACAACTTGCATCTTTTGAAACTTTGTGGTACGAGTTTGTCCGCCAGGTGACGACTTCTTGAAGTATAGTTTCTCCAAACAGATCATTGTAATAATCTTTTCCACTAACCTGTAATAGGTGAAACACGCTTGTCCTGTATTTCCCTCGGACTCTGTCGGGAATATCCGTGTCAAGAATTCTTTTGTTTACATTTTGCCCATGATTCATCGAATTTGAACTTGAATTAAAATTATGTTTACATGTTCAATTTGATATTTGAGTCTGTATATGAGCCACCATTTCGGATTTATTGTCGGATTTATTGTCAGATTTATTGACCGATTTATTTTACTAGCATTGCCTGAATAACAACATCAACAGATAAGCGATCTAGCAGAATGTCGGTCAACAATAACCTTGACACGTTCTAAATATATCTCTATATCTATTTATAACAAAACTTTTGTATACACACAACCGTGTACATGTATGACGTCATGAATGGGAAGAATACTGGGCCAGCCCGATGTATACGTTGCTCGGGGTTAAGTGGTCATTTGTACTTTGACGATTTATTTATAGACTATCCTGGTTGAGAGTGTGGTACAGGTGGTCGTGATTCTACTATTTCTCGGGAGTTTATAGGATTCGGAAGAATCATTTTGTCATCTGAATAATGTAAGTTAATTTTATTTGAAGGCTTTAGTTGAATGTTGAATAATACTACACAATTACATGTATGTAACCCATGTGTCCACATGTGGTATTTTAATAACAATGTAGCATAGATGCATACTCAGGTATCATATTGTAAATGTCCTTGTTACTGTTTTGTGAATGTGCACGTGACGTTACTAAGTATATGTACACGTGACATGTTGTTTACGTCTCATGTATTGTCCAGTGGAATGTGTGGTATGTGGCCGAACTAGTCCGACGTGACATGGACTTCAACGTGAACGCAACTCAGCACTTCTAACACCTGCATTTGTACTGCATGCTAATTGCGTTCTCCACACCTGTTTACGTCACTTCCTTTGGTTTTCTTTCTATCTGTCTCTCTCTGTCCTGGCACTCTACTGCTGGACGTCAGCGCGAGCGGTCCAGCAAGATCATATATCATACACATATACTATACGTATCACTTCGTATGGTGCGGGGCCAGTGAAGCCTGGTAAGTTGACAATGCTGTGGAAGTTGATTGTATCCGGCGCGTTCGTGATTGGTGAGTGTTTGTTTCGAAAGAAGCTTGGAGTCTAAATGTTTGTCTTGTCTTTTCAGGTTCTTTTTCCCTTCAGAAATAAATCATCGAACAAATTTGAAATCAGAGTGATTTGTATCTATATATATATACCCAACCACACCCCGGTGACATGTACAAATACACCTATTATAAGATCCTATAGTGTACAGTCAAGGATAGTTTACCTCCGACCTTTACTGAATCGTTAGATAAGCCATCTATTAAAGAGGGATATGCCTTTGAACTCATTATATCAGTTTATCTGGCAATTATTGTAAATACGTTTCAAAAATATATTATCAACTCAAAAACGTTCATAGCGTTGTCATAAGCGGGAAAATGTGCATATTTGACCACCGTAAACATGTCATAAACCGAACGTTGCGCAACCTTGATCTCCGTAAACATGTCATAAACCGAACGTTGTGCAGCTGCATTTGATCACCGTAAACATGTTATAAACCGAACGCTGTTCAGCTATACTTAACTACCGTAAACATGTAGCACTTGCCACACGACTATATATCCTTATTATACTGTATATTAGTCTATGCTTTATCATTGTAAAATTCATTTACGGCTGTTGAAAAAGACGATTAATAGTATTTATAGTAGATAAGGACAAATCGCCAACAAAAAACGTGTAATCTATAACATACCATTACGTGCCCACATTTATATCTCGCGCTCAGAGACTGCTTGCGCCGGGTGTAGATACCTGAGCGAGGAATACACGGGAAAAACATGATCTCGTGAGGTAACAATAGGAGCGTATGTGTAGCGTTACCTACTGCAAATATCTATATATTGAGCATTTCCTTGCAAACTACTGCTTGCATTATGTCCAGTGAGGACTAATAAAGCTTATATACCAGACATTAGTCTATGGACGATCTGGCGGCTCAAGACAATGGATAGGGATATGATGAGGTATTCTAATGTGTTAAAGAGTTCCATGGTGGACTGGTGGATCAGGAAAATGACCAGGATAGGGATATGATGAGGTATTCTGGTGTGTTAAGGAGTTCCATGGTGGACTGGTGGATCAGTAAAATGACCTGGATAGGGATGTGATGATGTATTCTGATGTGTTAAGGAGTTCCATGGTGGACTGGTGGATCAGGAAAATGACCAGGATAGGGATGTGATGAGGTATTCTGATGTGTCAAGGAGTTCCATGGTGGACTGGTGGATCAGGAAAATGACCAGGATAGGGATGTGATGAGGTATTCTGATGTGTCAAGGAGTTCCATGGTGGACTGGTGGATCAGGAAAATGACCAGGATAGGGATAGGATGATGTATTCTGATGTGTTAAGGAGTTCCATGGTGGACTGGTGGATCAGGAAAATGACCAGGATAGGGATAGGATGATGTATTCTGATGTGTTAAGGAGTTCCATGGTGAACTGGTGTAGATACTTAGTATTTAGACACAGCCAGACCGTTGATGGAGTGGAACTGTGTCCTTTGATATCCTTAGTGGTACCGACGATGTGGTATCAATGACGTGGTGTGGTGACATGGTGTTGTGACGTGGCGTTGTGACGTGGTGTTGTGACGTGGTGTTGTGACTTGCTCCGAGGTGGAATGCTGCCCGCCGATATTGACTATTTTAGAGTGTATTACTATAATGGAAGACAGCCCATTAATGAACTGTTATTACTTAGTGTGATGCTTATAACGTCTGTGTTGTATTCTTAGATTTATGTGTGAATGCGAGTGTAAATGGTGAAAATGTTTGTAACTATAGTTCATATTGTACATAGGAACTAAATGTTGTAAATAATGTGTTTTGCCTTGCTGACACTGCTGTCACACGGACAGCATGCTCATCCCGGTATATAAACCTGCAATGCTGACCTATTATACCAAAGAAGAGACTTGTTATCATATTCAAACTATATATATATATATGCCCCATAGATCTATACAACATAAGGCGGGGTATCAGATAATAGGTGGTACATCCGGTATTTCTACAAACAATGCAAATATTCTGTCTGTTTATAGTTTGTGTAGTTTATTCACAGGTAAGATATATGTAGTTGGGGGGTTAAATCCCAGGAAAATACACAGGAGTTTTAGTGTTGATCTGTTTCTTAATGCTAGGGAAGAGAGGCAACGGGTTGATCAATGCTAATTCTCGGTTGTGCGCATTTATACTCAGTCTGGGAAAAGCAGGACACGGCTAGATAAACATATGTGTTGTATCATTCAATGAAGTCTGAATGGTTAATTATATGTACTGTCTGCTGAGGACAATAGGGATACGTTGTACGAATGTGCTGATACATATTCATCGTTAATATTTTACATTACAGCTTCATTTTAAAATTCTGGACATTGGTAGTACGTGATGAATCCAGATTATCCTGAGGTATGTACTGAATATCATTAGTCAAAAACTTAACCTGCTCAAATTTGATGCGTTTTATTTGGGAATAGATGCCTTATTACATGACACAATAATTCGCTAATACATCAAACAAGATGATACTATGAAGCTATTGGTTCGTACATTTTATTTACTTTAATGTTACCTAAACAGACGACACAAACAAGAATGTTAAATAAATGTATTATATGTCATTAATAATGAACACATTGCAATGAATACATTCATAAATCATAGAACGACGGTCATCTTATTTATTTCGTTACAGCCATATGATATCTATAGCTACAACCTCGTGTGTTATGTCCTATTGTGACGTCATATTATAATGAAATTGACCGCTCCTTTTGAAGTAACTCCGTGGTATGTAATGACGTCAGAAAAGATGCAATTGACGTAGAACCAAGATGATGTCATGAATGGCATAGGAAGGCATTCAAAATGTTACTGTTAAACATCAGTTTTGCGAGAAGTATTTTGTGTTTTGTATTTTGTAATGTTTTTTTTTTCATTTCACATTTGCCTCATTAAGTTGTAAAAACCGGACTACTTTTTATAGATGTAACATACGAGGGCTGATTGATAAGTGGTGAGCTTCATAGTTACGGTTTTGACTTTTGGCGGTCATATTGCATTATTTTTCAACATAACCCCTTCCGTTTCTATACATGTTTTGACAGCGATGTTAAAGGATCTAAATGCCATTTTTAAAAAAGTCCTTCTCTTGACTGTTCAGAAAGTACTTCACTGCATGTTTGACGTCATCATCCGACCAAACTTGTGTACAGGAAAAGGCCTTTTTGCAATTTTGGAAATGCATGAAAGTCTGATTGACCGAGATCCAGCGGATAAGGCGGATGCTCAAAGCCACATTCCTTAATGACAGCCTTGGCAATGACAGACTTGTGAACAGAGGCATTTTCCGGATGGACTAACACACCTTTATTGAGTTTTCCGCGGCGCTTGAGCTTCATTTTCTCTTAGCGACCTAAGAAATGCATAAAATTCGTCATCGATTGCTTGCCCTTTCTCATTTCCGTAAGATTGGAATGTACTGTGAAATCCCAACTTTACTGGCTATATATCTCTCTGGAACTCGCCTGTCAGCCATAACAATGCCATGGGCATATTGGTAATTTTGCAACAGTGGCAGTCGTTCTAGGACGGGCGTCAAACACAAATCTCTGTCTGCCATTCTTAATTCCGCCAACCACCTTTTTTCACTGTAGCATATGGAAGGGGAATCGTCTCCTGGTGTTGTAACCATTTCTGTTTGGATACCCTTAGATGATAAACCTTTCTAATGCAAAGCGAATATGTTCATTTTACAAAATTCTCTTGCCTTGTTTACTTTTACCTTTTCGACATAAAGTCACCAAATGGTACCAGAAGTCGGATACACAGACTCAAATAGTTAGGAACTAGTAGGTCTGAAAAAAGACATCTCTGTTTAACTTCTTCAACAGAAGGCTCTAAACTTATCAATCACCTATCGTACCTGATAAATTTTCGTCATAATTTTTTTTTTAGCTTAATATAATGTAATTGTTAATCCTTATACAGTATAACATTTTTTTTTCATCATGCTATGTAATTATTTGTCATCATACAATGTGAGTATTTTTATTCATCATACCATGTAATTATTTGTCACCATACAATGTATTTTTATTCCTCATACCATTCACTTATGTATAATCATATAATACAAGGAATTATCAGACAATATTATTATTTATCAATATGTAATATCGCTACCCACTACCATACCATATCGCTACCCACTACCATACAATATCGCTACCCACTACCATACAATATCGTGTTGTATCACCATACAATGTCGTTATGTATCATCATACAATGTTGCTATGTATCATCATACAATGTCGTGTTGTATCATCATACAATGTCGAGTTGTATCACCATACAATGTCGTTATGTATCATCATACAATGTTGCTATGTATCATCATACAATGTCGTGTTGTATCATCATACAATGTATCATCATACAATGTATCATCATACAATGTTGTATCATCATATGTATCATCATACGTTATGTATCATCATACAATGTCGTTATGTATCATCATACAATGTCGTGTTGTATCATCAAACAATGTCGCTATGTATCATCATACAATGTCGTGTTGTATCATCATACAATGTCGTGTTGTATCATCATACAATGTCGTTATGTATCATCATACAATGTTGCTATGTATCATCATACAATGTCGTTATGTATCATCATACAATGTCGTTATGTATAGCATACAATGTCGTGTTGTATCATCATACAATGTTGTGTTGTACATCTTACAATGTCGTTATGTATCATCATACAATGTCGCTATGTATCATCATACAATGTCGTTATGTATCATCATACAATGTCGTTATGTATCATCATACAATGTCGTGTTGTATCATCATACAATGTCGTGTTGTATCATCATACAATGTCGTTATGTATAGCATACAATGTCGTGTTGTATCATCATACAATGTTGCTATGTATCATCATACAATGTGTTGTATCATCATACAATGTCGTTATGTATCATCATACAATGTCGTGTTGTATCATCATACAATGTCGTTATGTATCATTATACAATGTTATGTATAGCATACAATGTCGTGTTGTATCATACAATGTTGTGTTGTACATACAATGTCAATGTCGCTATGTATCATCATACAATGTCGTTATGTCATCATGTATCATCATACATACAATGTATCATCATACAATGTCTATGTATCATCATACAATGTCGTTATGTATCATCATACAATGTCGTTTTGTATCATCATACAATGTCGTTATGTATCAACATCATACAATGTCTTTTTGTATCATCATACAATGTCGTTATGTATCATCATACAATGTCGTTATGTATCATCATACAATGTCGTGTTGTATCATGTACAAGTATGTATCATCATACATCATACAATGTCGTGTTGTACAATGTCGTTATGTATCATCATACAATGTCTATGTATCATCATATGTATCATCATCAATGTTGTGTTGTACTACAATGTCGTTATGTATCATCATACAATGTCGTCATCATACAATGTATCATCATACAATGTCGTGTATGTATCATCATACAATGTTGTGTTGTATCATCATACAATGTCGTTATGTATCATCATACAATGTCGTGTTGTATCATCATACAATGTCGTTATGTATCATCATACAATGTCGTTATGTATCATCATACAATGTCGTTATGTATCATCATACAATGTCGTTATGTATCATCATACAATGTCGCTATGTATCATCATACAATGTCGTATGTATCATCATATGTATCATCATACAATGTCGTTATGTATCATCATACAATGTCGCGTTGTATCATCATACAATGTCGTTATGTATCATCATACAATGTCGCTATGTATCATCATACAATGTCGTTATGTATCATCATACAATGTCGTTATGTATCATCATACAATGTCGTTATGTATCATCATACAATGTCGTGTTGTATCATCATACAATGTCGTTATGTATCATCATACAATGTCGTGTTGTATCATCATACAATGTCGTGTTGTATAGCATACAATTCCGCTATGTACCCTCACACAATTTTAAGAAAATAAATAAAATAATGTAATTTGCCATGATGTCGTATAAGTTGATTGTTTATAATCACATTGTAATCACATAGATCATACATACTATGTTACCATGTAAATCATATATGGTCTACCTTTTATAGAATGTTCAGTGTGTTACTTTTTAGATATGAGTAAATCAAGTCATGTATACCTTCATAAAATGTAATTTACATGACACACCTTTTAGATATTTGTTAGTATCATGCAAAGAAAGTCTCATTATCACATGTTTATGGTATTACTTTATCGTCACAGGATATGAGGAGTCTTAATCATACCCAAGGGATAAAGAAACGCAGGGTGACATTATTTACAATATCTTATGAAGGTGTTGTTAAAAAAACAATGATTATCGGTCAAGCAACTCTCTAGGATACAGTGTACGTGGTCCTGTATCAAATGTTGCATTATTGTATTACATGACGATGTCTTCCAGGGAAAGCACGAAACAGGAAAATATCATGTACAGCAGTGTTGTGACATTGAGTTACACTGCTGGGTATACCATTACGTAGTCTTCATAGAGACATATTATTTTCCGATATTTTTATTAATTTCTAATAGCATTATAACAATGGTGGAAGTATAAAGGGGTCAAGCGATTATTATGCAAGGTCAAATGCCCTTCAATTACTCCTAAATCACTTACCAGATACAAATCGTTGATTTTGCAGTTTGTTCTGTATGGAATAATCTTCATTCTTACTTTAAAATATTGAACATTATACTCGACGTCTTGCCTAGAATCATCTTCAAAGTGTACCCTGCGTTTCTTTATCCCTTGAGTATATTACAAAACTGATTTCGTCGTCTTGCAATCTAAATTAGTTAAATGAAAATGACTAGTGTGTGTTTGTTACATCCGATATTTCCGTATCGCCTGATATCGAACTATAACCATTTGACCTTGTCCGACTTTTCTTAGACCTTAAAATCTCTTATCGACAATGACCCCGTAGTTCAAGGCCTTGGCGTTAATCTAAAGAGAGTATAGGGTGTAGCTGTATCATCAGATAGCACACATTCCTCATTTTGGAAGTGTTATCTTTAAAGCAGAATATAATATATAGTAATATATATAATATATAGTGGAAACTCTGGGAAGAAAATGATTTCATATATTGAATCATAAATACACATATATATATATTGAAGAGTTGTGACCAGGTAGAGAAGAAACCATTATGTTTGAACTTTCTTGTGTCACCGTAAATGGCTGATGTGTTAGACGCAAAAGACAATAAACAAATATAAAATGAGTTCGTTGCTGCTATAACAAGTACGTACCAAGTCATTTTCCTTACATTAAACAAGTTAAGGCGAGTATTGATTTATAATGTAACAAGTTTGTAATGTATTATAAATTGATTGCACTACTTTCCTGTCATGATTCTCATTATACATTTAAAGGATCACCCGCGGAATATCATTCCAGAGTTATGCCGTCTTTATTACAATAATGGGTGGATGCCAGGTTCCGGGGGCAGTCTCAGCATTAAATACGGGTACCTCACTTATCCTATTATTTACCCTTCTAATATTTTTTTGTTTTATTGTATTCTTGATTAAAGTAGAATAAACGTTGACATATGATACTGGGACAATAAATTTATTTCGATGAGTTTCACCGTCATTGATGGAATTCAACAACACGTCGACCTTTTTACATTTCTCAGAAAATCATTCATTACATATAAGTTACGAGATTAAATCAATAGAATCGTACACCGTTTTTTCCACATTTTGAACAATAGTATTGATATATCATTCCTTATTTCTATTCTCTACTGACAATAACTCACATGTATGTTTTTTTCTGTTGAAGAGAGGAAATTTACATCACACCTTCGGGCGTCCAAAAGGAACGTATCCAGGTATGAAACTGAATTCTTCTAATTTCTTCTAATTGTTTGAAGTCAATGGTGTGTGTCTTTATCCTATTACCAACCTTGTTTTGAAATGGCACGTTTTAAATGTATTTAAGAAATAACATGAGGAACCAGAAACCAGCCGGTCACCATATCTATATCTTATAATCTATAAACCTCATAATATCTTCAATGACCATGTATAACACATCTTAATTTACATGTAGTATTAACACATCACAATTTACATGTAGCATTAACACATTACGATTACCATGAAGTATTAAGACATCACAATTTACATGTTGTATTAACACATCACAACTTACATGTAGCATTAACACATGACAATTTACATGTAGCATTAACACATCACAATTTACATGTAGCATTAACACATCACAATTTACATGTAGTATTACCACATCACACTTAATATGTAGTATAAACACATCACAATTTACATGTAGTATTAACACATCACAATTTACATGTAGCATTAACACATGACAATTTACATGTAGCATGTTCACATCACAATTTACATGTAATATTAACACATGACAATTTACATGTAGCATGTTCACATCACAATTTACATGTAATATTAACACATGACAATTTACATGTAGCATGTTCACATCACAATTTACATGTAATATTAACACATGACAATTTACATGTAGCATTAACACATGACAATTTACATGTAGTATTAACACATGACAATTTACATGTAGTATTAACACATGACAATTTACATGTAGTATTAACACATGACAATTTACATGTAATATTAACACATGACAATTTACATGTAGCATTAACACATCACAGTTTACATGTAGCATTAACACATCACAGTTTACATGTAGTATTAACACATGACAATTTACATGTAGTATTAACACATGACAATTTACATGTAGAATTAACACATCACAATTTACATGTAGTATTAACACATGACAATTTACATGTAGTATTAACACATCACAATTTACATGTAGTATTAACACATCACAATTTACATGTAGTATAACACATCACAATTTACATGTAGCATTAACACATCACAATTTACATGTAGCATTAACACATCACAATTTACATGTAGTATTAACACATCACAATTTACATGTAGCATTAACACATCACAATTTACATGTAGCATTAACACATCACAATTTACATGTAGCATTAACACATCACAATTTACATGTAGCATTAACACATCACAATTTACATGTAGCATTAACACATCACAATTTACATGTAATATTAACACATGACAATTTACATGTAGCATGTTCACATCACAATTTACATGTAGTATAAACACATCATAATTTACAGGTAGTATTAACACATCACAACTTACATGTAGCATTAACACATGACAATTTACATGTAGCATTAACACATGACAATTTACATGTAGTATTAACACATCACAATTTACATGTAGCATTAACACATCACAATTTACATGTAGCATTAACACATCACAATTTACATGTAATATTAACACATGACAATTTACATGTAGCATGTTCACATCACAATTTACATGTAGTATAAACACATCATAATTTACAGGTAGTATTAACACATCACAATTTACATGTAGCATTAACACATCACAATTTACATGTAGTATTAACACATAATAATTTACATGTAGTAGTACTACATCACACTTAATATGTAGTATAAACACATCACAATTTACATGTGGTATTAAAAGCTTCAGATTGAAATCGCGATTAAACAAAAGATACCTCGAAATAAAAATTATAAAAAAAACTAGCTTTTATCCATTTCCAAATGCGGAAAAAAATTAATAAATCAATTTTAAAAGAAAGATATGAAAAATATCTTTTACAGTAGTTAGTTTTGTAAAATTTGACGAAGATGCTAAAGATAACGTGGAGGGAAGTATTTTTTGTGCTTTGTGTAGCTTTCCTTGGTTTTGTTTCTGTCATTGTATCATATGTGGACAATAGAAATTAGCGTGAAATAAACGCATCTTCTGAGGGAAAGCCGAATCTAAAAAGTCGGGCTAAATAAAACCCCGACGTTGGCAATGAACAGGTGCTTTATCCTCACAATTTTTGTCACAAAGTTAATATTTATCCTTTAATAATGAATGACTTATCCAGTGGACAATATCAGTTTAAGTCAAATCAGTCTATGTTGACTTTTATCATTACAGCCTGAAGACTTGTTTGTTCAGACATCCGAGGGCGAGGATATTTCCGGTCCACCGTCTAGCAAGGGATTAAGGAAATCACAATGTTCCCCAGTGTTTCTGAATATATACCGGCTCAAAGGTAATTGATGTTAAATTACATGGTTTAGTTTTTATATTGTTAAACGTTCCATCGACAGCTACGGTCATTCAAGGATTACTTCCCTTTGTAGCGAGTTGCATGAATGAGTAGTGTGCGCTTGTTTATGGGAGACTGCTATTTCTTATGTAAACTTTGTGATGGTGCGGATCTGAAACCACTTTATAGTGCTACCTCACTGAAGCATACTGCCAACGGCCTTGTCCTGCAGTTCTGTGGAGGCTAATTGATCTTATCGAGTGTTGCATATCGACACAATTCTGTTACCATTACTACTTGTGTTATTTTGTTACTTCTCTTTTCAGCTCAAGCTCATTCTTTCTTCTGTGAGCGCAGTTTTATCCTTAGACCTTTATATCTAGTTTGCCATTTTCAATGCACCATCATATTAGAGAATTCGCTGATGTCATACAAGGCGAAGAGTAATACCTTGTTTATTACAATGATATTTTTACATTAATTATTTATTGCCTATTATAGGTCCTGGAGCAGTATTTCATTTACATTCGAAGTCCTCTGTTCTGGCATCACTACTCACTGACGGCAACACTGTCCACCTCTCTAACTTACAAATGATTAAAGGAATTCGTAAATGGACAACAGGTAAGTTAGGTATCTTAAGGACATTTATACATGTAATATCATTTGTGTACCTTGATGGCAGTTTGAGAACCTATCCTGACCTATAAGGCGTCGATATCTGGTCCTCTTTTCAGGATTTATTTTGAGCTACTAAGCTCTATAACAACCGATGATATATTTTCAAATGTGGTCTTGTCTAAATATCTTCTGCCAAATGTATTTTTTTCTCGAAAATAGTTTAACGTTTCATATTAATATAGCCATGACAGTAACAAACTTTCATTTGAACTGAAAATCAATGCATTGAAGAATAAACCTATAAGTATTATATAGGTTTTAGCTTTAGAGAAAGTGTAAGCGGTTGACCTGATCACATAGCTGTAGATATATAAGAGACACTGATGCTTAGAATTCGTTTGGTACTTCAGATTTTATTCATTCGTTTGGTACTTCAGATTTTATTCATTCGTAAATATATTTTAAATGATTTGCAAACAGTATATCTTCCGAATTCGCTGAACCTACAAGTATTGTTAAATCCTCGCAACAGCTTGTGGTCAAATAATAATGGTGTCCATGGAGACAGCTGTAAAGCATATTTAAGATTGCCCAAAAGGTCCTCATCACCAGTTTTCTAAATTTAGATACAGTAAAGTCAAAACAATTAACATATCAGTTATATCAAATGCATTAGGGGAACAACATATCTGAAAATATCTTTTTTCTTCATATTCTCGCCTCGCTGGGGTCACGGACATAAAGATAAATCATATATATGAATGTTTAACAGTTTGAGAGCATTGCCTCAGTTATCATTCGTTATAACTACAAAACAAAATGAAAAATACCAACATGTCAACATAATCATAATCCAAACTCAAATTCAATAAAACTGTAGCAAAATATGAACCGAAGAAAGATTTACACGCATACTTCTGAAAAAAGTACATCTTTTGCTTCATCAACGACACCCGCCACTGTAAACCTTGGTAAATCCAGGTAGTAATGTCATATTCTCAAATGAGAACAGCGTATACAGCAATTGAACCAACATGCAAACACATAAAAACCAACAAAATAAGTGAATTTCATGAGGAAGATTACTCCAATAATGTTGTTATACGAAAGGATTGTGCATTTACAAGCTTTAGCAAATTTAGATACAAATCTAAAATTAGATGTAGGAAGTCCAGAGGATGAAGTGAACTGTATCATATTGCTATTTCCTCCTTCTAGGATACACCACTGATAGGTGATTGACGAAAATCTAAATCTGGTCTAAATAAATTCTATAATATTGATTGGAATATACACAAGTCTCAAAAATCAATAAACTCTCCGATATCAATATCGGATGCTGTCGAATGGACGTCCATTACATTTGTATAAACCGATACGTGCTATTTTTGTTATTATAATCAGTCATGCAGGGTTGAACTAAATTCATTAAATCGGTATATGTTTCCATTAATAGGAGGAAACCACAAATTTACAGACGATGTACAGATTCCTATAATTGACAACACACACACAGAGGATGGACTTGTAGTAAGAACTGCTTAAAATACTCCTATTGACTCTCAAACATATGAGACGATACCAAGGTTTTTAAAGAATTCCCTCTGACTTAACTTGCCCTCTTTTGCAGTCATGCAGGGTGTTTTCGATAACGATGGATTCGACGATCACACTTTTATATGTATATGTACTGTGTAGAGATTGATATCTTTGTAGTTCGAATTTTCTTGGATTTACAGGTAATGTAACGAGAAGTCTGTATAACCGTAAATCGATCAGAAAGTGGATATTCCATGAAATGAAGATTTTGTTTGAAATTCATGTTGTACACAAAAGCTGAGAACATTAATAAAATTTGTCATGGATATTCAAATATGAGACGTACTTCCATTGGAAAATGAGCAATTTTGTCAAGTCACAGATCTCGTAACGGAGTTCAAGAACATTAAATGGTATACATTTGCTACTATGTACCGGTGTACAATTTTTCTTTTGGTGACAGGACGGTATGGTGAAGGCTATGAACGATTATCCGGATACCTGCGCCATCATTGTCCGTGGCCATGGAATCTACGCTTGGGGACAGACGTGGCAACAGACGAAGCTGGTGTACGTAACTACAACAGAAATGATATTTCAAAAAATGAAAATATAGAGTGAAGAGATACATTTATGCGACGAAATCGGAAAATTATCCTGAGAGAGATAAATTGGCACCATACATATCTGCTTATTATGAACCAAGTTTCAATATAATTGCCTGAAAGCGGTAAATTTAATAATACATATTTATGTAGGTATATAATAATTATGTAACGGACAATGTTATTGTTTATATGAATGAAACTTGTCTTGGTTGTAGATGTGAGTCATACGATTACCTCTTCGACATCATGCTACAGCTTAGAGCTGCGGGGATACAGGAGATACGATAAAATCGAGAGAGGCCAGTAGGTGAACCGGAGGCATGTCCTGAGTACAGCAGATCAATTAAAGGAAGCTGGAGTCCGAGAAAGCTTAAAAAATTAAATTAAAAAACCATCCGGAGATTCAAATCGAGGAAACGAGGATCAAATCAGGGAAGGCGAGTCCTTGAAATCATATGATTGCCTCCGCAGAATGGAGGAATGTCTGGACCCGGAGTCCGGGAGATTAACTGTTTTCACGTCAGAACAGTTCCAGAAGTTGCCTCCCTTCAGTAATGATTAAGTTAGAAAAATTCTTCGCCTGCAATAACATACTATCATTTATTTCACTATAGTCCAGACGAATACAAACTTGTGATAGCAATGTGTGTGACAAAGATTATTTAGAAGTAAATTCGATGGTTATGTCCATATAACATATATGTTCAGGTGATTAAACAAGGGTTTCCAATTCATTGGAGATTTGTAAAATGAGCTTTCCTACTTATTGATTTACTAAGTTTATCAAATTCATCAAACTTGTCATAAATCGTTTTTGAAAAGGTTATTTTCCACGAAAAGGTCGCTCATCCTTGCGAATAATCCGGCTTCACAACATCGCTTTTAATAATTAATAATTGACCAATTTTATGCAATATTTTGAAACGCAAGCATTATCATTTCAACGTTTCATATGATAAGAATTGATTTAAACATATATAAATGATATTACAAATAATCAATATACTGCACGTGACACACATTTATATTGTAATTCGTAGACGTACAATTGTAAGTTTCTATAATTTTGTCAAAAGAAGGAAAAGATGAGATGATAGGATTGAAAGAAAAGAAGAGAAAAAGAGATAGTATAGATTTTATATCAATTTTATATCAATTCTATATCAATTCAGTGCCGACTACAAACAGTTCATAATTAGGTAGTGTTAACACGCTTTGTTTGTTTTATAAACTTTTGAACAGATTTATCAATATTACAATTAGTTTCATATGAGTAAACATCACTGTCGCCCTATATGATAGTTTCTATATTAAAATCTACGTCCACATCATACAAAGTATCAAACAATATGCCTCTACCATTAGAAAATAATGAACATGTAATGAAATAATGACTTGTGTCTTCAATTCCATTACCACACGAACACTAATAATAATATAATAAATTATAATAATTCTTACACAGAAAATATATATTACTTCACTTACTAGCACTAACATACTGTACAAATACAAATAACACATTTGTTTACCGTTATTTCAGATGATGACACCAGTAATCTGAAATCAAGTTTTATTGTACATGTGATGTATGTGAAGACACAAAAGTGTTTATGTAATAGATGCTCCTCCCATTGTGAAGTGTTTTACTTGATGAATATGTTTGTAACTCATGTATACAAGTGCGCGCGTATGATGGTTGAATGGGGTCAGCGGTGTGAACGGAATGCACGGGTGGCCGGAGCCCTGTCATGTCCCCAACCCAGAACTCACCATTCATTCATCTACTTGACACTGATGAGGTCACGTCAAAACACATCTTTATGTATCTCTGTGTCCTGGTAAGTGTACTTTACATTGTCGTGTAACAATTATATGTTATTGTTACGTCGTGTGTAATTGTTCTGGTCAATGTACATGTGAAATATATGCGTCGTCTACACCTAATTTCTGTATACGTGTGTATTGCAGGTTTTACCGCGATGTATTAAATCATTGTCTGCAACAAGACGTTTGGTTATTACTTAAACCGCCAGCGGTCTACATGTTTTATAATCAGTGACTACAAATCTAAACTGGACTGATAATGGTCACTTCTGACCTCGACCGATCCCGGTATGTGGTAAATGAGACATAAGAAATGAGGAATGTATGCAAAACTAGATATCGACTTTTTGGTTTAAAACCTCTGATTTGGGAAATAAAAACATGCGTTTAGCAACTCATTTAAAATATTAAAGAATGGAACTATAATTTTATTTTCCCAGATGTCTTCCTTGACCAACGTCTTTAGTGTCTGACGGACTAATTATGGAATGTATATTTTAAGAACACTTTTAAATCTGTGTCGTCTACAAAACTAATTTTAAAAGACATGTTAAAGTCGTAATGGCTGTATTTGATTTTGATTAATTAAAAAAAAATAATTTCTATAATTTCATTGATGATAGAAATTTATACTTTTTGCTTCTCTTGTTCAACCTCCCTAAGTCAGCATTGCTGATTCTTCGCGTGACATGAAGAACAACAGCCTATTTGTTAAGTACACTATTAAACTCTATGTTTTGGTAAATATCTACTCTCTGTTCTCTGTACGACCTGAGAGTCGATGTATTGTTTTGTATTTCAGTCATAAGGTACTAATCCTAGCAAGATTCCCTGACAAACTTAAGCATGATCCTTTGAATTACTAAAACATTCTCATCGTCTCGATTACATCCTGTAATATCTCGAATGCTCGTCCAAAGTAGTTTACTTACTCTGTATAAATTGCGATTTCTCTCCCCCACCATTTCCCTCCCCCCCTCCCCCTCTCTCTCTCTCTCTCTCTCTCTCTCTCTCTCTCTCTCTCTCTCTCTCTCTCTCTCTCTCTCTCTCTCTCTCTCTCTCTCTCTCTCTCTCTCTCTCTCTCTCTCTCTCTCTCTCTCTCTCTCTCTCTCTCTCTCTCCACATAAGATATATCATTTACTATTATCATTTACGTTAATTGCTAATTTGATTTACTGCTTGTACTTATGTATTTTGAAGGTAAAATAATTGATCAGTTGTTAAAATGATTTATTATATTGTAACTATTTATTTGCATTAACACATGCTTAAATAAAACAAATATTTTAAAAAAAACGTTATAATATTTTGCTAAGTGTGTTAGCAGAATGCAAATACCTGTCATGATCGCCAGTTTCTCGAGGTTATATTGAATATGCCTATATCAATCAATCTCAATGACATAACCCTGACATTCACACTTAGGGATCTTAGATCATACAGACAGTATTATTATTGTCTTTATTTCCTTCAAAGATGAAGAGCATACATACAAATTACAAAATAAATCAACTTGAAAAGCATACAATTAAGGTGGAAATTAATGTAGACAAATTATGATTATACATACAATATGTTAGTTTTATGTAATTCATACTCCGTCAAGAATTATCTTGCAAGTTATAATGTTATGAAATAATTACATACCAAGTATATATATCACAACAATAGGTTTTAAGTGTATATAACACAGAAGGACTCCTGGCGCACTATACATAGCCATATAGTTCGAGCATCCTTTTTATAGAACATGCTGACTTCAGTCTAAATTGTTCAAAATCATGTTTGTCTAACTGATATGCCAGAGGACCTCCTAGTGGAATCGCACATCTTATATATTTTATCTTCATGCACAGAAAATAACGGACATGCATTATTAGATACCAAATAAGGACACTTTCACCATGCGTTCATTAGGATTACCTATGGTGTACAAAACCACAGCAGACCGTAACGGACATACCACGGCCACATCTATATAGGCGATTAGTAATAGGTATAAGTAGAACACTATTACCGTGAGCTTTGTTCACGTGACAATCCAGACTTGCTAGGAAAGTCACACTTGGACTTCTATTTGAAGACGTGTTTTCATCCCGCTTTTGTGTTCTATATATACAGTTGAAAAAATCTTAAACGCAGTGTTTCAAATCTATTCATTTCAAAAAACACTAATTTACGAATAGCAACCGAAATCAGACACAGCACTAATGTCGATAATTACATTTTATAAATTGTGAAATTAACTTTCGATCTTTACCTATGTTTAACTTATTGTATTCAATTATTTTAACATGCTATCATTGTGTATCACAGGAAAGGTAACGTATATTGAACGTATGTAAAACAGATCCGCTACACCAAAATCCAATAACTTCAAAATCTCACCATACTTCAGTTTTTTCGTGAAAATATTGCTATGTAGTTTGTTATTCTAAACATGAATACCTCTCGATATGGTTGTTTTATTTGTTGCATTGAATCATGTATGCATATGAGCATATACCTATACAGACGACTTTATGAACCAATATTAGATATACACCAAAGTGTGGATGGTGGGCGTGTCTTTGCCTCAACAAGAGTTCTTCTAAACGTCACTATATATCCGTTTTCACGTTATCAGTTTTACCGGTTTATCCCGAAAGAAAAGCGTCAGGTACTATCATCAGTGAAATGATCGGGTTTTATGCTTGACAGGAAATTACGAAACTGTCGAGCAGTTCAAGCATCACATATGTGTGCGTTCGTGTATTGTGGGATAATCCCAGACCACATGAATGCTTCAACCGGGGTACGCGAAAGTAGCCTCGGGCCAATTCCGAAAACTCTATGTATGACAAGGAACTATATGTTATAAAAGTAATCAACAAGGACTAGAAAGGCTAGGTTTTAATTTGCGGATGATTGACACATCGAGAAAAGTATATTTACTTATTACATTTTCACTTTCTGTTCAAAATTTTGATGTATCTAATCAGTAATTGTTGTTTTATCCTGTCACGAAGTAGTGACAATATAATACAATTGTTGGTTAAGTGAGTTATTTTTATTTATAAAACTGTTTAATGGTATATTTGTATGGATAGGAAAATGTAAGGTTATTTACGGTAATTTAACTTTGAGACAAAATTATGTATAACATAGTTGTTTACTACATGCATTACGGTATGTTATGGGGTTCAAGTATATTACAGCAGGGCAGTCTACTTATATATGATTGGTCAGTGCTCAGAATGTTAACCAATCAGAGCACACCTTACACTGGGTTTGGGAAGCACATGGAGAGATCATGGCGAGAGAAGGACGGCCAGATTTGGGGGCCAAAAAGTCCAAAATAATGCAGGGCTAAAGGGGTAACGGGACATTCACAGGGATGAGTCCGGATCTTTTAATCATGTGTTCTTCATTGATAATAGTTGCTCAAGCTGTCATTCCATATTTTTGTATATTTTGAATAATTCGACTTTATTAGGATTTTTATTAGGATATTTAATGGACGCAGGCACACAGTGCCTCTATATCCATATCAATAATAATCATACAATTAAATTATATAGTCACTTCCGATTAGTGAATTGCAACGAGCCAGATAGTTAAATTTCAGTTCGAGAATTTTCCAATGATTGTCCAAATTAATTTCAAAGTCTCTGATTGTTGATGATTGGATTACTTTTTCTGGTAGACTGTTCCATAGGTCTGTATTCTTAGTCCAAATGAGTATTTCCGAATGTCCAGATTACATGATTTCTTTTTCAGTTTCTTTGAGTGGCCTCTTGTTTTAGAATTTTCGTCTCGATCAAACATGCCTTTGGTGACTTTTTCATCGTGAAATTTATCCATAATTTTGAAAACGTTTATCATATCTCCCCTCAATCTACGGTATGCCAATGTCGGGAGTCCGAGTTTCTTGAGACGGTCGCTGTAGGATAGTTCTTTCAGCCCCGGTATAAGCTTAGTTGCCCGTCTCTGCACGCGCTCTATTGATTCAATATCCTTTATTTTGTATGGGTTCCAGACGCTTGCGGCATATTCTAAGTGTGGGCGGATTAATGCCTTGAACAGTTGTTTAAAAGACACTTCATCTAAGTATACAAAGGACCTTCTAATAAGACCAACAATACTGTTGGCTTTGTTTACAGCTTGTTGCATATGCATAGAGAAATTTAGATCTTTATCCACCGTTACGCCAATATCTTTTTCTGAAGTTATGTTTTCCAACGCCACGTTGTCCTCTGCTCCTGCCATATGGTATGTCCATGTTTCTTTCCTTTTTTGTTTTATTGTTAATACTTTGCATTTTAGTGGATGGAATTTTAGAAGCCATTTGTTAGACCATTCTTGCAGTTTATCCAAGTCTTGTTGCATTGCCTTCCTGTCCTCATCACTTTTTATTTCTCTATAAATCTTAGTGTCATCAGCAAATAGGTAGGTGTTCGAAGAAGTATAATCTGGCAGATCATTTATATAGATTACAAATAGAATTGGGCCAAGTACGCTGCCCTGGGGGATCCCACTTAATACCGGGTGGTCTTTGGATGCTTTTCCATTAACTAGTACTCTCTGCTTCCTTTCGTGTAGAAAGTTTTCTACCCAGTTGACGACTTGGTCTGCTATTCCGTAGCTTCTTAATTTTTCAATTAACCTGCGATGTGGTACCTTGTCAAAGGCCTTCATAAAGTCCATATATATAACATCAATTTCCCCACCGTGATCTAGCATATCCGTCCAATCCTCAAGCACCATAAGGAGCTGGAGAACTGTGGACCGTTTCGCGATAAATCCAAATTGCTTGTTGCTAAAAAGATCATTGTTTTCCATATGATTAACGATGGAATTTCGCACAATTTTTTCCATGGTTTTTCCAACTATGCTGGTGAGGCTTACGGGACGATAATTCCCTGGGTCCGATTTTGATCCTTTCTTGAATATTGCTGTGATGTTGGCCTCTTTCCATGCAGATGGAACTTGACTATCCTCCAATGATTTGTTGAAAATAATACTTAGCGGTTTGTTTATGATCGATTTTAGTTCCTTCATAACCTTTGGGTGCATTTGGTCAGGTCCTTGAGACTTACTGCCATCCAAGTCTGAGAGGAGTTTTCCGACACTTTCTTCAGTGCATATGATATCTCGAAATGGGTATTTTATTATTTTATTATGCATTTTTGGTGTGTCGCC